CAAAAAACAAAAGAAAAGGAAAAGGAAAAGAAGAAAGAACAGAAGGAGGAGGTTGGTGCTGTGTTACCCAGGAGTGAGCCTGTGAGCAGGGCCGTGTGCTCAGGCTTGGCAGGGCCCATCCTCAGGACGCTCCTGGTCTCTCTTTCTCCTCCTGCCTCCATTTCCTGGCTCAAGAGGACTCACTGGCAGTTGGGAAAGGAAGTAGGAAAAACCAAATCTCCAAACTAGCTAAAAATGCTGTTATTTCCCAGCACTCGGGAGGCTGAGGGAGAAGGACGGCCATGAATTCAAGGCTAGCCTGGGCTACAGAGTGAGACCCTGTCTCAGAAACCAAAAGCTGGGACTGGAGAGATGCCTCAGTGTCTAAAATTGCATCGTGCTCCAATCTTCATCCAGGAGATTGGGACTGAACTCCCAGGACCCACACTGGCAGCCCCTAACCAGCTAGAGCTACAGGTTGAGAGTCTGACTCTTCCACAATCTTGTGTGCATGCACAGAAACACACACATATACAGAAATTCATAAAATAATAAATAATCTTTGAAATAACCCAACAAATGACCGCTTCCCCTCACAAATTCCTCCTCGGAACAGACAGTTCCTTTCCACATGGGTATCAATCTTACCCCCCAGCTGTTACCCACTGTATAGACACTGTAGCTCCTCTGGGCCATCTATTCTGGGCAGCAAGGCTGGTGGCCTTTGAGCTCAGGATGTCTGGTCCCTACTGTAATGTTAAGTTGGGAACATCACCCCAGCCCCTGGCATCCATCCCAGACCCCTGGCCTGAGAGTTGCGTTGGTCTGGACCCCAAATCCCAGCATGCCAGGTCCTGACCCCTTCCCAGGGGATAAGTGGGTGCCCAGAGGAGGAACATGTGGTCCCGGGGTTTGCACGTGTTCCCTGGTTTTCTGTCTCCCCTGCCATGCTCTTGGCCACCTGAGAGTGCTGCATTTAATAAAACATGGGCATTTTAATTCGGTTTGATTTGACCTGATTGGATTTCTTAGTGCCGGAGAAGCGGCTTGTCTTGGGATTTTCTCCTAACCCCTGCTTTCCTGGCCTTGGTCCCCTCTTGAGGCTTCAGGTTTAGATCTCCCTGCTGCTACTTGGTGTCCAGCATTTGATGCCACTAACGTCTGTTGAATCCCACACTTCCTCCTACAGTGACCCCACACACTGGGAGTTTCCACTTCCAGCTCTGTCCTGTTGGTGTGCTCTTGGGACAGTAAGGCATGGCAGAGGGGACTGCCTTGGGTCTCTATGGGCTGCAGATATCTGCTCACCCTTCCTTCCTTCCTTCATTCCTTCCTTCCTTCCTTCCTTCCTTTCTTTCTTTCTTTCATTTTTTAAGACAGGATTCTCTGTGTAGCTCTGGCTGTCCTGGAACTCACAGAATCACCTGCCTCTGTCTCCCATATGCTGGGATCAAAGGTGCAAGCCCCCAGCCTCCAACCATCTCTTGCTTCTTACCAAGGGGCCTCTACTCTGCCGGCTTAAGCCCCAGGTAGACATCACTGTTGTGTTTATTACTTAAAACCTTTCTAATAGGTCCTCTAGCAGAAAACCTAGCTCCATGTTCCATGTTAAGTCTGTGAAATCTCCCAAGTGTTGAACTGTAAAACCAGAGACAGAAACAAACTACCTGGAAGGCCTGATATCCCAACTATTCAAGGGGTAGGGGCAAGAGGATCCCAAGTTCAAGGCCAGTATGGACACCTTAGCAAGATTATGTCCCCAAATAAAAACGGGGGGGTGGCTCCCTGGATAAAGGCCCTTGCTGTCGTTCTGAGGACTTGCGGTCCATCCCTGGGACCAGCATGATGGAGGGAGAGAACCAACTCCATAGAGTTGTCTTCTGGCCTCCATATGGGTGCAGTGACAGTCACAAGCCCACACATGTGTACAAGAAAGAAACAAACATAACAAAAATTTTGTAAAGGAAAGAGAAGTTTGGGGGCGTGGCTTAGTGGTAAAGTCCTGCTTAGAATCCCCCAGTGAGGGGCTGGGGTGTGGCTTAGTGGTAAAGCCCTGCCTAGAATCCCCCAGTGAGGGGCTGAGGTGTGGCTCAGTGGAAGGGACTTGTATAGCATCTGTGAGGCCCAATGTTCACCAGAAAAAGATATAAAGCACCCACAGAGATTACCGGGTGGGGAGAGTTCTCTATACCCAGGCACAGGAGCCCGAGGCTCCTCCGGTTCTCTGTCCTAGACCTTCTCTTCTCCCCAGGGTGTGAGGGACTCACCAGTGAGTGTCTCCCTGCTTCAGAGGACCGTATGTCTTCTATGTCCTGCCCCTCCCCACCTTCCTCATACCCAAATTTGTGGAAGGAGAGATTTTGCTTTATGTGACTGAGATCTTGGCTTCACACTAATTACGTCTGGGTGACCTTAGGCAACCCTCTTACTTTCTCAGGCTCTCAACTCTTTGGTGGGATGCTGATGTTCGGGAGGAAACACAGGGCAGATAGGCTGCTAGCAGGGATGAAGAACCCGGGCTCCATGCCACAGTGGCTCTGCCACCTGCTCCCTGTCCTTGCCCTGCCCACCTGCTCCATCTCTTTCCTCTTATCACCTCCTCCCCTTTCTTAAGAGAAAAGGTCCTCATGTAGCCTAGTCTGATCTTGAACTCACTCTGTAGCCAAGGATGATGGTGAAGTCTTCACCCCCTGCTCCAGAGTGAGGGAAACCTGGTTACTGTGGCCAGAGCTGTGCTCAACACTGAGCCACGCCCCCAGGCTTATTCTGTCATTTTCTGTCCTCTGATCCACAAGAGGCTGTGAGGCTTCATCCATATAAAGCACGCTGCATAGCCAACGCCATTATCTAGACCAGTCCAAGGGCTGCATCTTGCGGACTATCCTTTAGTCCAGATTAAATCCTAGACAGTTTGCATCACATGACCTATATCTAGAACAGATAAGGGATCACCTGTTCTTGTTCAAGAGGCTTAAAAGTGGAATCATTTGTGGCCTCTGGGGTGTGGTAGGATGAGGTGCTGCCCTTTGCTCTATGGGATTCTGTTGATGCCCTCTGCCCACCACGCCTGGGCCCTCCTGTAGTCCTGACTCATCCCAAGATCAAAGGTTTCCTAATCTCGTTCTTCAATTCATTCATTCATTCATTCCTGGTCACTGTTCTCATGAGTTCCCTGTGCCATGGCAGGCTGTCATGGTGCCCAGGACAGATCTGAAGATGGGCCATGATAGTCCGGGTTCTGTGGGCCCCTCACTCCCCCTCCCCTTCAGGAACCCTAAACAGCTGAGGTCTGAAATCCAAAATTACATCTTCAACCCCGACAAGCAGTTTGACCAATAAAAGGGAGCACAGAGATTACCAGGGAAGAGGAAGGACCAAGTGCTCAGGCCCAGAGGTGGGCTGTGGGCATGGGGGTGGGAGAGGAGAGTCACAAGGGGCTCAGTTTGCTCAGATGCACCAGGAGAGGAGAGCTGGGATGTGGGGAGCAGATGGGGGTGCACACCTGTCTCCACCTCAAATCAGATCCATCCTGTCCTGATTTCTATTAGTTTTTTTGGCTCAGGAAATTCTTTCTAAACAAAACAATTCTAAGCTTTAAAGAATGTTGGAGGTCATTGCCCTGGCTTCTGGGGAGCCACAGAAAACGCTGAAGCAGGTGGTGGACTTGGGGTTTAGAGATGAAGTCTCCACAGAGAAAAAAAAAATCAAAAAACTGGATGTGCAAAGGTACCAGGGCAGGGAAGAGTGGGGTGTGACCAGGGAACCTGAAGTCGTGGGGTGAATGGAATGTAGGAGAGGAGGAGAGAGCTGGGGTGGGGGTGGGGCCGGATGCTAGGGAGTCACACCGTGGCTGTCAGGGATGGGTGAGGCAGCTCTGGGACCACTGGGGTCGGCAGGCTGGGGAGAGGCTCGAGAGGGAGATGATGGGCCATGAGAAGAGTCTGGGACGGGGGTGTGGTGTGGTGTGGTGTGGGGACTGGCAGGCACCAGAGACACACGGGAACACACGGAAAGTCGAAAGCACTGAAGCCTGTATCCAGAGTGACAGTACTGAGGTGGAGAGAGAGAAAGAGAGAGAGAGCAAGTGACCAACACTCCGCTGCAGAGAACAGTCATTCCAGGGACCCGGTGACCCGGCTAGGAAGAAGCACAGCACCAGGTCGGGCTGAAGAGAAGCACAGAAAAGAATGTTGAACCAAAGCCGAGGGCCCCAGGGATGCTAGCAAGCTTGTCTAGGTCACACAGCAATCAGGGTTCAACTACCTGGGCCCCAGAGTCCGGGTCCCTTCATGCCTCTCCACACCCTGGCAGGGGAAGTGAAGCAACTAAGGTGGGGACAGGACTTGGCTGCTTCTCCCGACCCCATCCCCCTACACGCATCCCAGGGTACCAGAGGGTCCTGGGAGGGCAGAAGAGTCTCCTGTCTTGTAAGAGTGTAAAGAGTTGATGAGGGTGGCAGCTCACTGTGTGATCTGAGGGAGCTCTAGCCTTTTCTGGGCTTCTGCATGCTTAGCCAAGAAGTGAAGCCAAGAGGAGGGGTGTGGAGCGGTTACAAAGGCTTCTGTGATCAGGACACTTCCCCCGACCAGCCTCAATTTCTCCATCTGGTAAGTGGGTACTCTCTGAGTGCCTGACTCATCTCCAAGAACAGAGGAACTATGTGCACTCCCTACACGAGGAGCAAGGTGGGCTCTCTTGGCGTCAAAGACCCATTTTCCCCTCCGTGAGCATCCCGTGCTCCCTGATGTCTCCCAAATGGAGTAGGCACACGTGAGAAGTGGGCTTTATTGGGAGTCCCCAGCTGATGCAGGTTCCTGCAACCTTGGTCTTTTAAAACTTCTGGAGACCAGGCTCCGGGTTCCTCTTACCCAGTTTAGGTTAGCAAAGGTCCTAGCCCCCGTCCCAGGACAGAACAACCGGAGCATGAGAGAGGCATCCCATGACTGAATCCAGTGGGGGTCCCTCCCTGGCCAGGGCCTGACCCCACCCTCCCCAGGCCCTGGCAAGCACGCCCGCCTCACCTCATTTCGGAGATACTGTTCTCGTACTTGCCCCACAGGGCCGGGGACTGTGGCCCGTCCATGGCGGGCAGGGCAGGAGCTAGCCGGGCGTGCGTCGGGGCCAGGTGCGCAGCGTCTGCCGCGCCCGCCAGTGCCAGGTGCCTACCAGGCCGGCCCAGGGGAGGGGCACAGCCGGTTCTCCCAGCTGCTGCCCACGCCTCCTGCCGGCGGCAGGGAGGGAGAGGCTGGTGCCCTCCCAAGGCGAGGGTGGAGGCTCCACGCGACCAGAGTCCAGGGCCAGCTGTGGGGATTTACGGCTGGACCCCAGTGGCCTGTGGTGCCCAGCTTGTGCCCGTCTCACGCCAGCGGCCCTCTTCGATTTGAAGGTTTTGCTGAGCACTTCCTGTCCGTGTGCGGCTCTGCTGAACACTCGGCATGCTGGAGAAGTCCACTTTGTGGGCTGATTTTGTAAGAGACAAGAGACAGAGGTGCAGCCAGGGCAGGACAAAAGGAAAGGGACAGAGAGACACACAGAGATCATCAAAGACAGGGAGAGACAGAAACAGTGAGAAAGACAGAGACACGCACAGACGGTCGGAGACTGAGAGAAGCACAGAGGTAGAGACAAGCAGAGACACACAGAGAGAGATACTTCCTACAAGCTTTGCCTGTCTCACAAGGACCGGTCTGCTGCGTGTGTATCAGCTGCAGCGTCCCAAGGAAGTGCTTGAGGTTCTGTGGGCTTATTGGTGGGCTGTCACTCACTGCCCAGAGACAAGAGCCAGTGACAGGGTATGGGTACCAGGGGCCAGCGGAGTCTCCGAGTACGAGGACGCAGTGAGCAGATTCATAACTTACAAGAAGACTTCAGACTCCTGAGGGGCACAGAGGACAGCCTCAGGCAGTGACGGATGGGAGGGAGGTTAATGGAGGCCACTAGATCGCAGATATGGAGGGGGTCGTGGGCACTCAGGCACAGGGAAGAGATTTGAAGGTGGACACAGTAGCAGAGGAAGGGACCTCACACCGCCTGGGGTGGGTGGAGGAACAGAGCCCCAGTGAGAGTCCCCCCAGCCAGGCACCTGCTTCCGTGTGAATACAGTTCCTTCTCCGGAAGGGTTCAAGCCCCAGAGCCCTTTGTTGCTGGGATTATGAGGGTGGAAACTTAATCCACCCATGATGTGTAGAGGCTGAGCCTTTGGGAAGTGATTAGGTGAGATTAGGTCACCGAGGTGGAGCCCCCTCCCCCCACATCCAGGTGGCTTTAGGAGAGGAAGGCACCACAAATCAACAGGACAAAGAACTCTGCACAGGTACGGGCGCGCGCGCACACACACACACACACACACACACACCTGCTGTGAGAGGTGCAGGCATGAAACCACATGCATAAGACTGTTTAGACCTGGTCCTTCCAGATCTGGGAGCCCAAACCAACCTTTTTCCTTCCAAAACAGCCTGACTCTAGTATTTTCTTCTATTAATGAAAAGCTGACTAATACACACGCATCTAATCACTGATTCCTCCCGTCATAAGGTGGCCCGCCCATCACCAGCTCATTTACTCCACCCACTCATGAATCCAGCCTCCTATAGATTCGTAGCTTCACCTAGCCACACTCTGATATCGACACATCTACCCACTCCCCTACCCACCGACACACCTCCCCCACCCCTCTGTCCATCCATCAATAAATGCACATTCCACCCACAGGAGCACCCACTACCCATCCATGCACCCATCCACCGGTCTGCACACTGATACACTCACTCACCGATCTACCAACTTACCTGTTCATTACCCACACATCCACCATCTACCTTCTACTGCTCTATCTGTTCACCCAGCTCCCCACCCCTTCGCTCATGAGCCCATTTTAATCCATTTATTCATCCATCCATCCATTAATCCACCTACCCACCCATCTCTCACTCACCCGTATCCAGCTACGCATCCACCCCTCATCCCTACCACCCACTGATACACCCATCATCAGTCCATCCACCCCTCATCCCTACCACCCACTGATACACCCCCTCATCCCTACCACCCACTAATACACCCATCATCAGTCCATCTACCCACCCACCATCACTCCCACATATCCACTGACCCACCTATCCATCTATCCAGTTACCCTTGATGCATGCATCCATCCGCTGAGCACATATGCAGCCACCCACCAATGCATTCATTTATCCACCCATTCATCTACCTCCTCTTGATGCAGTTCCTCTACTCTGCACCCATTCACCTAACTGGCCACCCATATACCTACCAAGTCCTCTACCCATTTATCCATTCACCCAACCACCTATCAATAAATCCATCCTTAGCCAGCCTGGTCTACAGAGTGAGTTCTGGGACAGCCAAAGCTACATGGAGAAACCCTGTCTCAAAAAAACAAAATAAAAATTAAAATAAAATAAATCCATTCTCACACTCACTGACTTATCCACCTATCCATCCTCCCGCTCACCCATCCAGCCAGCCAACCATTTATTCCTCAATGAACCACCCACCCAATCATCCGTTCATCTGATAACCACATATTCTCATTCATCCATCTACCATTTATGTGTCTACTTACCCATCTGTCCACACACCCACCCATGCCCACACTCATTGCTCCGTCCTCCCATCTACCCATCCGTTCATCCACACACCATCCACCCATCCTTCCCCCATTCACACATCCATCTGCGCAGCTGCCCACCTACTGTCCTCCCATGCACTTGTCCATCTCTGCGCTCACCGTCCCGTCGCAGATCCAATCAGTCATCCGCCACCATTCATTTAGACACCAATCTTTTTTCAAATTTCATTTTATTGCATGATGTTTTGCCTGCATTTATATCTGTAACTTAATGCCCAAGGAAGCCAGAAGAAAGCATCAGATTCCCTGTGACTGGAGTTACAGATGCTTGTGATGTGTGGGTGCTGGGAATCGAACCCTGGTCCTCTAGAAGAGCAACAAGTGCTCTTTATCAGGGAGTCAACTCTCTCGCCCTGGGTATCGATTTTTCAATTTATTAATCCAGCCACCCTACCCCCACAGCTATCTGTCCATTTATCAACTAATGCCACCCACCTATTCACCTCTCTACCCTTACACATCCACCCACCTGCCTGCTTTCAGCTAGTCTCTGGAGAGGCCCACCATGAGTCAGGTAAGGAAACATGGCGTTGAGCTAATCTGACTATCTAGGACTGAAAATGAAGTACATGTGGCTAAGAAAATAAGAACTTTCAATCTATTCCTTTCAATTAATTTAAATAGCAGCACACTTTGGGGAGATTACATGCCAATTAAACCATTGGAAATTGGGCATTGCAATTGAAAGTACAAGACCTGTAGAATATCTCAATAAATTTGACATGAATTGCAAGTTGAAATGACTTAATTCAAGGTACCTTGGATTAAATAAGTTACATTTCCAAAATTAATTTCACCTACCTTTTTTCAACTTTCAAAGATAATTTTGAAGATTTTATTTATTTTTTTAAGTTATATATGTGTGTCTGTGTTTGGACATGTGCACAAGAGTACCTGAGTGCCCAAGAAGGCTAGAAGAGGGCATTGGATCGCCTAGACCAGAGTCACAGGTGCTGGCACTGAACTCCAGGCCCCTATGAGAGCAGAGTGTGCCCTTAACTGCTGAGCCTTCTCTCCAGCCTCTTTCCACTTTAGAAACTACGTTGTGGTGGCGCCACAGGACAGCTCACTGGTTAAGAGCATGCACAGCCAGATGTAGTACATGCCTTTAACCCGGCATTTGGAGGGCAGAGGGAGGTGGATCACTGTGGGTTTGAGAGCAGACTTTCTATTGTCTACGTATCCAGTTCCAGGACTACACACAAAAACCCTGTACAAAAAGAAAAGAAAACAAGAAAGAAAGAAGGAAGGAGGGAGGGATGGGGAGAGAAAGGCACTCTTTGGTCTTGTAGAGGACCTAAATTCAGTTCACAACACTTGTAAAGAGAATCACAACCACCTTTGACTCTGGTTCACGGGCATCTGATGCCCTCTTCTGGCCTCCAGAGGCAGTGCACCCACGTGCACAAACTCACACATAAACCTAAAAATAATTTTTTGTTTGTTTTTCAAAACAGGGTTTCTCTGTGTAGCCCTGGCTGTCTTGGAACTCACTCTGCAGAGCAGGCTGGCCTCAAAGTCACAGAGATCTGCCTGCCTTTGCCCCTCAAGTGCAGGAATTAAAGGTGTGTGCCACTATGACCAATAATAAAATATGTTTGGAAGGCATTAGGAACATGGTGTGGTAATGCACACATGTGATTCAGACTCTGGAGCCTGGAGCAGCAGTGTCTCGATTGTAAAGTCAGTCTTTGCTATAAAGAATGAGGCCACGTGGCTGGGCAGTAGTGGCACACGCCTTTAATCTCAGCACTTGGGAGGCAGAGGCAGGAGGATCTCTTTGAGTTCGAGGTCAGCCTGGTCTACAAGAGCTAGTTCCAGGACAGGCACCAAAGCTACAGAAAAACCCCGTCTCAATAAAAACAAAAAATAAAAAATCCTCACAGAGAATGAGGCCACAAAAGTGATCCCAAAGCTTTAAAAGTTATATGATGGGGGCTGAGAAAGCAGCTCAGCAGTTAAAAGCACTGGCTGCTCTTGCAGAGGACCCAATTCAGTTCTCATCACTGACTTGGTGGTTCACAACCACCCACAACTCTAGTTCCAGGGAACCCGATAGTGTCTTCTGACCTCTGAGGGTACCAGGGACATCCATGGTACACAGCCATACATGTGAACAAAAAGCTCATATAAACAAAACAAATAATTTTTTAAAAAAGCTGTGTGATGGATAAGCTAGGAAACAGCTCAGTTTATAAAGTACTTTTGCTGGGCAAACATGAAGACATGAATTTGGACCCTTACAACCCAAGTAAAAAGCCAGGTCTGGCAGTACATGCCTGCCTGTGGTCTCCAGCACTGAGGTAAGCGTCTGGGGCTTGCTGGTCAGCCAGCCTATTCTCACCAGGGATCCCCAGGTCACCGTGACAGGGACCCTGTCTCCACACAAAGGTGGATGGCTCCTGAAGTTGTATGCTGGCCTCTACATGAATCTGCGCACACACACGTGCGTGTGC